ATAGAAAAATAGTTTTGGTGACCTGAGGTCAGAGGTCAGGTCAACGACCCCGAAATGTGATTTTAGTTTTTCGCAAATAACTTCGACAAAAATGGTCCTAGAGCTTCGGCAGTGGTACCATCGCATTCGTCTTGTCAGGCCGCGTCGAATGATATATATTTTGTTTGGAAAAGGTCAAGTTTCATGTTGACCTCATGTGACCTCGAATGACCTTTGGTTGGCTTTGACACATGAAAGGTCGCCTATGATGGATTTGTACCCGCTGATTACGAATCTGTCATCTATTTTCCTCTAAGCCTTCATTTAGAGCTTCCGGATGGCAAAATTGTCTTATTTATTATTACTAACTTGAATCAGTGAAATAGCCTCTACCAAGGATACTCTTCAGTGACCTTGACCTTTAAGAAGCCTTGTATCGTAAGATGAACCACAAATAGGGAACAGATAAGCCTCAAAACATTTCAAAACATTTTGGAAGTTAGCACGCAAGATGTACGAAAAAGTGCAAAGTTTGAGGTCAATTTTGAGCGTGACCTTGACCTTGACCTTTAATTTTGAGCACAGTTTCAGAATCCTCAGATTCTTTGCTTTCCTATGACACTCAATTTTGCCGGTTTGATGCATCTTGCCGTCTTCTAGAACGCTTACCTTGAGATCACTACACATGTGCCGGTTTTTTTTTGCCTTTGACCTTGACCTCTGACCTTGAAAATTGACCTGAGGTCAAAAATTTTAGATGCTTTAGAATCGTCTTGTAAGGACCTTTCGCTTGGTATCGCTTTTGTTTCCGTAACCCCCTTATTTACGGAGTTAGACAGGGGGGGGGGGGCGAAAAACGCCCCTCCCCGGGCTGCGGTGGTTGGGATTACCCCCCGCGCCCGGCCGGGTTAAGTTCGTCGTCCACAAAACGTAGACTGATGGACCCCTGTTCTATACCGCTAACATCTAGAGTCCCATCTACGAAAACAGAGAAGAATTTCATCTTCATCAGAATTTTCCCCAGTAATATTCCCGACCACATCGGCCGTTATCTCCCTCATCACTTCGTGACTCAGATCAAGGATTTCGGTCTGTACATCATGACTCGTGAACAATTCCTTTCGCTTCAGCCACTGCTACAGTTCAGGGCTGTCTGCGGCCCTCAACTCAAGAAGTTGGACGAAGTTGCAGGAGTCCTCTGTATGTCCACGCAGAGCCAGACCTTGCCTGGCCAAAAATCTGATGGTTGTCACAATTTTCAGCAGGCTTGCCCTTGCCGTCTCTTGTTCTCGCTTCTCGGCCGATGAGACTGTCTAGTGCCTGCCTGGGAGATGGCTGGCTAGTGGCTCAGACTTTAGTGACAAAGCATGTTTGTGCATCTCGGAGCGAGCGTGCCCAGCCATCTTTTCTCTTGCTTTTTTCTTGTTACAGAAACCGGCGAAAGAGAACGCAGGCTCTTGATGACGGAAATGCAGGGCTCGACCAAGCTCGCATGCCTTGGCGCAGTTAAAGCAAAACAATTTTCTCGAGTAGGACAGAAGTGGAGCCATAGATACTCTTTGTACCATGTAGCTTGAAACTTGAGTTTTGGGGCCCACTTTTTGTGTTGGTATGATTGCTGGACTGGGCTGGTTTGGGGACGTCAGCTTCGAAATTTCCCATGGTTCTTTTGTACGCCATCCATCGAGTTTGAGTTTTTAGAAGTGTGCACAGGATATCGAAATCATTACGAAACTTAAATGAAACTTACACATGGCATATGTATACGGGCAGACAGCATTACGATATTCTACAAGAATCGCTCTCACGGCACAGGTTTTGGCAGGTCTACGGTGTCGGAGTTGGTCGGAATCGACAGTTTTGGTTAGAATCGGAGTTAGAGCCACCAAAATTTGGCCGATTGCGACTCGGAAGTCGGAAGCCAGAGTCGGCTTTTGTCGTGGTTTCGTCATTCATGACGAAGAAAAACATTGGTGACTGAAAATGAATGCCTTTCTGTCAGGCTGAATTCTTAACCTACGAGGCGGGCACGAGCCGCTGGGGGGGGGCATAAAGTTGCCCCCCCCCCTTACGTTTTGTGGAATATCTCCGCAACCTGATGAGCTACGAACGTGACACTTGGCATAGCTTCAAATGAATACCTAGGCAATGTTTGAGGAAAGTTTGGTGGTTGTAGTACTTAAGATGACGTCACAGTGACGTCATAAAGTTTTGCCGTTTTCCGATATGGACCGTTTCTGATGTCGCTGAGCATGAAACTCAACTGTAAATGACCTAGACAGCACCTGTTGTCATCCTAAAACATCTAAGTACACTTCCAACTAGCTCCTGACCAATAATCGGTCCTTTACATTCGGTCTCTTACATCGGATATATCGCGAGGAAACTGAGTCTCAAATCTATAATTTGACTTCTGACGTCACTGTGACGTCATTTCAAATGGGATTGACATCAAATTTGGACACAACCTCGGCTAGGTATTCAGGAAGATGTGTGCAAACTTTCGCCTCTCGTATCTCTTCGCGTTGCGACGATTTCGTCGCTGAAGTAAAGGGGGCAACTATATGCCCCCCCCCCCCCAGCGGCCGGCGGTGGCGTGGAGGCCCAGCGGCCGCCGGGTTAACTAGTGGAGTACGTCGGCTCTAAATTTCATAATTTCGATACTTTTGCAACGCCCGATTCGAAATTCCTTCTAACATAAGGTAAGCTGCTGGAGGAGTCGTAAAATATCTCGATTGATGGTTATGAAGACAAATGAAACGTGTTTGGCGATGCAATTTAGAAGGTGGCATAATTGATATAGCGGAGTATGTTACCTATAAATGCAACCGTCAGGTACAAGCAATTCCGTAAGAAAACGTTATGGGAGCCTGGGGAGTACTGGACCATTATTCCTAAGCCTGCTTTGGTATTTTTCTAAAACGTTTTCAACAGGTCAGCAATGGAGTGAAGCTGGCCACACCCAGGAGACGTCTACGTCTCCTCCTGACATTTGTCCTACAGGACAAATGTCAGGGAGGCGACGAACTAGCAAGGTGACGTGACGGAAAGTCGGTAGGAAATTTAAAATCTAGCGACCCTACGCCATGAGTTAAAACGATTTTAATTTTTAAGAATACGCACCTACGAAAAAAAATTACAAATTGTGCGTAGTACGAGTAGACTCCAGAAACATACATGTAAACCGATCACGGATGGATGAGAACTTCAGCATCAAGAAGGAACAAAAAAGTGAGTTGCTATTGATTGAGCGACGATCCATTACATGCGACGAATAACTGCAAAACGCATATTAACTACTATTGAACGGGCCTCATCGATAGGGGGTACTGTATCCCGCTAATTTTGGATAACGGGGGGACCGGTCCCCCGTCCCCCGTTGGCGCCGCCCATGGGAGGGGGGATTACGACGAAACTTTCAGTTCCCTGTAGTTAATCAATGTTCCACCGGCCCTGAAAATTTCATGACCCGGACTCAAATGACCTTTAAGCTGTGATTTATTTCCTAAGACCATGCCAGGCCGGAATCGTGATACCCCGACGGCCGACACGTTACGGAACCAGGATGGGGCAGCCCTGGTGAACATCGAATTCGACGTTTTGTCCTACAAGGCGCACATGACGATGGTGGACACGAAGGATGACGGCCCCATAACCAGTGCGGCGCCACAGAGTGGCACCGTGTGTGTGGTGCGGCTCCATTGGTAATGAACAACATCGACGAAGTCATGCAGCAGCCCAAGTGGCAGGTCAGGGGCGTGAACAAGGAATAAGTCAGAAAATCCAAAGAACAGATTCAGCAGAAGCTTCGCGAAAGTCTTGGAATGATGTTCAACAAGCCGCGCTGCACTGGTAGCGGCAACTCCAATGACGGCAATACCGCACGTCGGGCGTTCAGGTCGACTGCGGAGTTCGCCACTGCCACAGGCTTCAACGAGGAGCTACCACGTCGTCCTTCCGTGATATTGGAGGCGGTAACATGCTAGAGGCCTCTGTCTGTATCAGTTTTAAAAGCCCGCTGTATGGAGACGGCCAGGCTGTTCACCAGCCTCTACAGTCTACAACTGGTACCCGATGCCGACAAGACTGCACCGACGGGTTATCCCATCAGCAGAGGTGGTAGAGCAGAATCATCTGCCGGTGGGGCTGCCGAGCGAGGACGTAGCCGAGGCACAAAGACCTGCGTGTTTTCAAGGCTGCACCACACGCGAAAAGACAGCAGACTCCACACTGTCCGACACCTTCGGTAGCGCCTCCTCATCACGAGTGATCAATTCATCAGAAACATCCGTCAAGAGGACTGACGCGCTCGTCAAACAAGACGTCGCCATCTCCTTCTAGAGGAAAGGACCTGACGCTGAAAGAATCTGCTGCAGGCGCAGCGCATCAACTCAGGTTGTGACGGCGAGCGGGTAGTGGTCACTGCTGTCAGATGCTTCTAGTCACGTCATGTGCCGTGCAGTGATTGTCGTTGTCAAGTCATGTGGCTTGTAAATCGCTGCCTGTAACTTATATGCCTTCGATTTGAACCACGAGTTTCATACTCATGCATTCATGTGCATAAAGCATAAATCCAAAGCATATCATACAGCTGTATGAAATAATGTTGAGAAAAGAAATCGTACGGCTGTACGTGTTTACGAACGTGTGATGCATGAACGAATTGACCCTCTGATAGCACAGGCAGCTTTCTGACACATGACTGAAATGACTTTCACTTGGTCATGGAATCAATGCCCACAGCGTTGAACTGAACGAAAAATGACCTTCATATTTTTGAAAGAGCTTTACAAAAGCTATCGATTGCTTTTTAAGCGCTTTTCTAGCCGTGCTGTTCGTTTTGTGTTTTTAGATAATCGGCAAATACATTGTAGTTGGCTGAGCTGGCTGCCTTGGCTGTGATCCCAACAAGGGCGTTGGCCGTCGATTAAGAGCGGTTTGATCATCAATAACGAATAACGCCAAATGTGTCTGTGGTTGAATATTGAACCGGCATAACCATCTTTCTGTATTATTTTCAGGTGATGTTAGATGCTCCGCAACGCCGCTGATCGTACAGCGACCTGGCCAGTGCCCAAACAACGACGCCATCTCGGTTCTGAAGTGCCCACTGTTGCCGGACGATCATTGCTCGCAGGACTCGGACTGTTCTGAGCCCGGCTACAAATGCTGTGACTACGGCTGTGGACGGTCCTGTGTTCCTGCTTGTAAAGCCACATGCAAGCTCGGTTTGAAGTGCGATCTGGTCCGAGGCAAAGCTTGCAAGCAGTACGGGCTGTGTCCTCCAGCTCACTCGACCGCTGTGTGCCGTCCGGCTCCCCTGTTGAAGCCTAGTCTCTGTGAGCTGGCCAATTGTGGCCTCGGCTCACAGTGCGTGGAACGCAACGGGAAGGTCTTCTGCGTCTGGATCCGTTTCGTCACAAACCCGTGCGCCACTTTCAGCTGTTCCTTGGGTAGAATTTGCGTGGTGCGCGGCGGCTTTCCACGATGTATAGAGTCCCTTCCACCAACCGACCCCTGTTCCCTGACGAACTGCGCGATCGGCACTGAATGCGTCATCTCCAACGGGCGTGGCATCTGTATCAGCAAGTGTGCGCTGGTCCACTGCAAGGGCGACACCAAGTGCGAGGTCCGAGATGGCCGGCCGGTGTGTGTCAAAGGCGAGCCGCCGATCGATCCGTGCGTCGGATTCGTCTGCGGCAAAGACGAGCAGTGCTTGGTACGCAAAGAAGTCGCCATATGCGTCAACCCCTGCTCTAAGGTTCAGTGTTCTGAGGGTCGCCGCTGCACGGTACGCAGCGGAATGGCTGTGTGTGTGCTGGACCCGGTCAAGCCACCGGCAGACCCGTGTGCCAACATCGTCTGCGGAGGCGGCTACCGCTGTCAGGTCCGAAGGCCGTACGGTGCTGTCTGTGTCCTCATCAAGGACCCGTGCGCCGGCAAGAAGTGTCGCTCAGGACAGAGGTGTGTGGTGGACGGGCGCCAGCCGAAGTGTGTCGGTCTCTGTCAGCTGGTAGCCTGTCCCGAGTACACCCGCTGTAAGGTGCAGAATGACGAGGCAGTGTGCGTTCGCGGCACACCGCCGGCACTTCAAGACCTGTGCAGCACCGCAAAATGTCCGATCAAGACGAAATGTGTGGTGAGCGCTAATCAGGTGTTCTGTTTGGAGTTCCCCAAGCCAATGGATGTATGCGCCAGCGTGTACTGCCGCCCCGGTACCGTGTGTGTTGAGGAAGCCGGCCGGGCGTTCTGCGCCGCCACTTCTCCAGGAGTGGACGTCTGCAGCCTTTTCCGATGCAAGCCAGGGTTCCAGTGCGTCATGTACCGTGGGGAACCGGTCTGTATCCAGGCGAACCCGTGCCAGCTTGTGCGCTGCAGTGCCAAGCTGGTGTGCGTAGTGATCGGCGGCAGAGGCCACTGCAGGCCGAGTGCGATTCGCACCTGTCCTCCTTGCCCGCCCCACACCCGGTGTAACCAGAAGAAGGGCGTCTGCGAGCCGCTGCCGAACCCGTGCCGCCGAGTGGACTGCAGCGCCGGCCAGAGGTGCGAGGTGCGTGGCGGGCGCGCCGTGTGCGTCACATTCGACCCGTGCGCCGTGATCTCTTGCGGCACTGGCCAGCGCTGTGTGAGCAACGGCGGTCGGGCCGTCTGTATCAGCACCGACCCGTGCGCACGTGTTCACTGTTCATCGGGTATGAAGTGTCACCACGGCGCCTGTGTGCCTACTAACCCGTGTGCCCTGATCCACTGTCCGTCCGGCACCCGCTGCCACAACGGCATCTGCATTGCCATCAACCCGTGCCTGAGGGTGAGCTGCGGCGTCGGCAGGGTGTGCCGCCGCCGCGGCAGTGTCGGTATCTGCGTCATTGTCAGCCCGTGCGTTCGGCTCACCTGTCGCAAGGGCCAGTACTGCGTGCGCAAAGGCAAGCGCGAGGTATGCGTGCGCCGCAGATGTCGCAGTAAATACTGCAAGAGAAGGAACAAGTGTCGCAAATACTGCGCGAAATGCAAGAGCAAGGGCAGGAAATACTGTATCAAGTGTCGCAAATACTGTGGATATTATTACGGCCGGTACTGCACAGGAAAAAGGTGTAAGGGAAAGTGCTCTCGCTGTGTAAGCAAGCGTTGCAAGAAGGGACGCTGTGGCGGTGATGACGATGATGACGATGATGACGACGACGACGACGACGACGATGATGATGATGATGGAGATGATGATGACGACTGAATATGTCATAAGCTTTGGAAGGAATTGACGTTGATTCGCGTTTTCTGGGTCTCCTATCAATTTACTAGCCCATTTGAAATAGCAAATCGCTTGGTGTTTACTGTTTAAGTCTGTTACTGCTTTTGGGTCATCAGGTCGTGCAAATTGAAGGTGTAAATTAAAGGACCCTTGCTGAATATATAACCAGGGCTGTCAACCGAGAAAAACGAAGAAAAATAAATTGAAAAGCACAAATGTGCCATATTTGCCACCGATGGACCGAAAAGGCATCTGAAACATACCATAGCATATAGCCATGGCAAGACAACACGCTGCAAACACACTTTGCCTCTTCTTTGCAGATGGGGCACCGCGCCGCCGGGCACATATGGTTGCTGTATTGTTCGCAGCGCCCGCCAGGGTTTCGTCCTATCCTGTGTAGGTATTGTGCCGACGCCGACCAGTGACCGGCTCGTAGCTGGTGGACGTCGGCCGCCCTAGTTCGATCCAGGCCGGTCACCGGCGGAGGGGGGGGGGAGCGAACCCATGAGGTCCCGGTACCATCCCTCGGGCCACCGCCGTCGCTCGCGCCCGCGCCGATCTTGCCGCTGCTCGGTGGACCGTCTGAACGTCCAGTGGGGCTAACTCCTGCGGCAGCTGTGCCGCCTCCTTGGCCAGGGTGTCCGCGCTCTCGTTTCCCTCGAGTCCGCAGTGGGAGGGGACCCACTGCAGATGGGCCCGGCGTCCCCGCTCCGCCAGCGTAATCAGGACCTGCCATATTGTGGCACCCAGCCGTGATTGCTGGGCCGCCGGTCCCGCGCGTAGGGCCGATAGGCCCGACTGGCTGTCGGGTCGGTGCACAGCATCACCGGGTCGCCCGGGTCCTCCTCTGGGTGGTTCAGCAGCCAGCTCAGCGCCGTGGCCAGAGCCACCAGCTCGGCTCAGTAGCTGGAACACAGCCGGCCCGCCGGAGCTCGCAGTTCCTGCTTCTCTCCTCCTGGACGAACCACCAGCGCGCCAGCGCCTCCATTGTCCACTCCGACCTCCGCCGAGCCATCCGTCCAAATCCAGGTCGCGAACTGGGTTAAGGCTCCCAGGCCCGTCTCCGCCGCCCGTCTTCTGTCCGCTGCCGACGCGCCCAGCGGCAGCTCGCGGACATCCAGGGCCAGCGACCACCAGCCGCGCCCATCCACGGCGGCGGGCGGCGGGAGATCGTCGGTTCGATGGGGCCCGTCACACCGGCTGCCCTCCAGACTTCCCGGCCCAGAGAGCGCCACGCCCCGGTACTCCTCAGGCGTACGGTGGGACAGGCCTCCGCTACTCTCCTCAGAGGGTCTTCCGGGGGGGGGGAGACAGTGCTTTGGCCAGGAATCTCGCAGCTAGGGACTCTCTTCTTGCTGCGACTGGCACTAGGCCCGCTTCCGCCATCACCGCGTGGTCCGGAGTGGAGATCGGGCATGCTGTGCAGATGGTCGCGGGCCGGATCCGGCCTGCGGGCCGTAGCTTGCCGATCCCTGTATTAGAACGTCGTAAGGTATGGCTGCTATGAGGTTTTTCGGGATTCTGATCACGAATATCATGCGAGCTTTTATCACAGACGATGTCTTCATGCATTTGGGCCAGGTCGGGTCAGGTCAGGTCAGGTCAACCAGTAGGGGTCGTGACGGGTATTCGTAGTAGTAGGTGTCAGCTGCCCCTGACAGCTTTGTAACATGTTACGAAGGCACCAAAACTACTTGGTAACTATACATTCAAATGGTTGCTAAATTCGAAATTAGCTTCAAAAACTAGCCTAGAAACATGAAAAACTCGAAAAAGTGAGCCGAGGTCATCAAAGGTCAATGATCTGACCTGACCTTCAGGTGACCTTGATACCCTCCGTAATGCATAGGACCAATATCATATCATATGTTTGAATGCTTGAAACTACGAAAAGACTGCAAATGCCCGGCTTATGCGCGCTGACATACGCCGAATCGCGATTCCGGCCAAACACAGTCTCGAGAAATAGGGCACAGGTCAAAGGTCATTTGGGTCAGGGTCATGAAGTATTTAGGGTAGGTATAAAATTGATTAACTTGGGAGTATTATAAGTTTCGTCGCGATCAGCCGCTTTTTACGCGTTATTCGCGAAATACCGAGGGGGTCCGTTTGATACCCCCCCCCCCCCTATACGGACTTTAACCCGGGCACCGACGGGGGTCTGCGCCAACATAGAACCGACGGGGGGGGGGGCGGATGACCGCCCCCCTGAGATCTCGAGAACGAAGTAAGATAGCGACAAGCGGTAAACGGCATCGGATACGCACGGACAAATTCTACAATTTTTACAAAGGTCATTTTCAGGTCAGGTCAAAGATGACGTCACAGGGGTAAAAAAGGCAAAATGGCGGCGCTAGATATGGAGTTTTTCTCGAATAACTTTCGAATTAGTCAAGATAGGAACAAACTAAGGGCATCTTCGTGATCCTCTTGTCAATCCGCATCGAATGATATGTGTGTTGACCCCAAAAGGTCAAGGTCAAAGGTTGACCTCAGGTCACGTGACCTCGAGGTCATCATGTATATCATTTGATGCATCTTGACGAGCTGAACACAATGAGACCATCCGCGCGGCTGTATCTTGTTCCTGTACGGAGTTATTGGCAAAAAAACCTTTGGTGACCTTTGATGACGTCACATGACCTTACAGCTGCCCAACAGCAAAACAGACCTCAAGGTAGTGAATGTTGATCATATATGAAGTCATGTATGGTATATGGGGTCATTCCGACCCGTTTTAGTGGTAAAAACAGGGAGTTGATTTTCCCCCATTGACTTATAATGGGGAGGTCGAGAATTTGACCTGACCTCTTAGTTCATCGGTATCAAAATTCAGAGATAAACAAATTGTAGCTACTAATGACCTAATAACATCCTGCGACTTTCAAAGGCCTCCGACATCTGCTGTAGCTCTGGCACGGTCACAAAGTTGTAAAAAAGTGAATTTAGGGGTTGGGTCATTCAAAGTGACCTGGTGACCTGACCTTAAAAGTTAGGAGGTTTAAGCTTGCACACCATGTGTAAAATTGGTGAGAAAATAGTCGTACCAAATTTCGCTTTCCCGCTATTCGCGAAAAACCTCAGGGGGGGGGGGGACGGATATTCGCCCCCCCCCCGTCGGTGCGCGGGTTAACATGTCTCCATCGAAAGATATTGTCGAAAAGAAATCGTGACGTGTGATATTGTGACCCACAACCTACTAACCCGTGACCGTGTTCTATGATAATTGTGACTTTCCGGTTCTGATACCGGGACAAATTAGGCTCACGGGAGTAGGCTCCGAGTAAATATTGAACATTTAGGTAAAACAGATATTATACTTCTGAATATCTAATTCTATGTGTGAAGAGCGTCAACTCAATCGGTTGACACCGCACTAGTCGCAATCTTTCGACTGTTGTGCATTGACATTTACAAAAAAAAAAAACAGGAAAAAATCAATGTCTGTTTATTGTAAGACAAATAATACACAGTTATACATACAATGTTGACATGCACAGCAAACCGTCGGCTTTGCGCATCTTGACGTATTTATTACAGTGAAGAGAACAACAATGATGAGCAGCATTCATGACAGGCTTGACAGTTCAAAGTTTATGCAAAATGCCGTTTGCTTGTGAAAATGTAGTTTGGAAACAACATTACGCAATAACTGGCTTCAGAGCAATGTTGAACCATGTAACTTACCATGTAACTAGCCATGAACCAGTAACCATATTAGTGTACCCTCAATGTACCCTTACCATTCGCTGTCTTATTCCCCTTCCTTATACAAGCTGTCAAATATTGATACAAAATATCGCACACGACATAAGTGCACCTGTCCGTTAAAAAGAAAGCTGACTGTATCTACATACATAATCCAGTTAACTCTATTGAATCACCTAATACCCAGGTATTTTAATTCTGAACCCACAGGTATGTACGGCTACAGAAAGCAGATTAAAAATGAAAAATAAAGGCAGGAGAATGTTACTTTACGGAAAGTAAAAGAAATATACATCCTACCCGTTGTAGCTGACCTGTAACAGCCTACCGGTAGCGTATTTATGCCGGCAGACAGTAAAACGATACCTTTTTACGAGCGCAACGATGACCAGCGGGGCACCTCCTTTTACCACACAGCTCGAGGGAACCCGCCGGGCCTTCGCAACTTCCCCTGCCTTTACGAACGTAGCACTTCGTGCCACTCGAACACTGAACTTGGGAACAGGGATTGACAACGACGCAAACGGGCTCCCCCTTGCGTACAACGCACCTTGTTCCCCGGACACACGTCTTGGCGTCGCACGGATTGACTGCTACACAAACCCCAAGCCTCCCACGCACTTCACATTTAGTTCCAACCGAGCAATTAGCGAGGGCGCAGGGGTTAGTCGGTACGCATACCCCTCGTCCATTACGGACTTCGCACTTCAATTCCTTTCCGCATCTGACCAATGCACACGGATTCGCCGGTACACAAATCCCACGGCCGTTACGAGCTTCACATTTCAATCCTACACCACAACGAACCAAAGCGCAGGGATCAACGGAGATGCACACAGCGCGTCCACCGTTAAGCGTACACTTCTGGCCGGTTTTACAAGTGACCACAGCACACGGGTTATCGTCCTTGATGCATGTACCCAAAGCACCCCTTACAACGCATCTGAATCCCTTCTCGCAATCAGTGAATGAGCATGGATTGGTGCATACAGCGCGCCCGTTCCGGACAACACACTTCGCACCACTGGGACACTGAACGGAGTCGCACACGTCCGTGAGACCCTCAGGCGTTCCGCATACTGCCTTTCCGTTACGAACGCTGCACGTTAGTCCTGCTTTGCAGCGCACCAGCTTACATGGGTTAGTTTTGACGCACACCCCACGATTGTTACGTACAGTGCAGGACAAGCCAGCTGAGCAACGCACCAAGGCGCACGGGTTACCTGGGACGCACAACCCGCGACCACCGTTCACAACACATTTGAAAGAAGCAGGGCAATTGATCAATTCGCATGGGTTTATGCAAACCGCCTGTCCATCCCTTTCGACACACTGCCTGTCACTACGACAACGAACAAGTGCACACGGTCGCTGAAGAGGCTCGCAGACATGAGCGCCTTGACGAACGACGCACTGGGTCCCGCTCTTGCATTTGACCAGAGTACATGGGCCGTCTATCGTGAGACACACCCCACGGCCGCCCCTGTTAACACAATCCGAACCTTTTGGACAACGGAACAGGGAGCAGGGATCCACTACGTTTTGGCTCTGCACGCATGTGGCCTTGCCATTTTGCACGACACAAGTTGACCCCGAGGGACAGCCAAATGACGAACAGAGGTCGACAATCTTCTCTGGAACAAAGCAGAACGCCGCGTCGCCGACCGAAACACACTGCTTTCCCGATGGGCAGTTATATCCTAGACAGGGGTCGACGTTCGGTGGTGTAGGAGGAGGAGCAATAAAGGCGCAGAAGGGCCGGCCATCACGTATCACACATTTGGTGCCGGATATACAATCAACGCCACCGCAGGGGTCTTTCAGATTTTCCGGTCCGCGGCAAGCAGCGTACTCCCCAAAGACTTCGCACTTTTTACCAGTCGGACACCGCACGTTATCGCACGGATTGGTTTTCGGCAGTGGCACGCAGACTACATCACCTGAGTCCCCAGTACACCGAGTGCCCGCAGGGCATTTCGCCTTCTGACAAGGGTCAGTTGTCGGGGTAGCAGGCACACAAACAATCAAATCCGACTGCACTTCACAGCGCATTCCTGATGGACAGGTAGCTGTCTTGCAAGGATCAGCCGGAGTAGGTGAAGGCGCACAGATAACCTGACCAGATTGCACCTCGCACTGGGTTCCCGAAGGACATTTGACATTCTTACAGGAGTTTTCTGGCTGAGGTGCAGGGATACAGACAGCCTGGCCGGACTGTACAACACACCGGGTACCGGAAGGACACTTGGCCTGTCTGCAAGGATCAGCTGGAGTGGGAAGGGGCGTGCATACAGCATCACCCGATATGATCTCACATCGAGTACCCGATGGGCATCGGACACTCTTGCAAGGATTAACCGGAGGAGCGCTGACACAAACTCCCTTGCTTCCCTGAGCTTCACAACGTCGGTTAGGGCCACATATCACATCCTCGCAAGGATCAGGAGGGGTGTCACTGATACAGAAGGGCTTGCCTTCCCGCGCGGCGCACGTGGAACCTTCACCACATTCAAAGTCAGCGCACGGGTCTTTTAACTGTGCGCTTTGTAGGCACACAGGTGCCCCCGCAATGACAGCACAGGTTTGACCGTCAGGACACAAGAAACCTCTACAGGGGTCAGTGCTGGTGTCGATGACACACACCCCTTTACCGTCCCTCTCTATGCACCGGCGCCCGGAGACGCACGTCACCACAGCGCAAGGAGCTGTGAGGTTTGACCCGGCGCTCTTCACATCCGTGAGTGCGCACACGGCAACACCATCCTCTATCTTGCACGCTGATCCAGGCTGGCACTTCAGTGTTGCGCACTTATCTTGCAGTTTCTCTGGTTCTGGAGGTTTCTGTTGACACTCCTGTGTGCGGCACCGCGGCTGGGAGCAGACGGCGGTGGACTCTTTTAGGGAGGCGCCCGGCTTCAGAATGCACAGCTGGTCCAGACGGCAGACTGGGGTGCAGGCGCGCAAACAGGTCTGCCGGCAGCCGAACACGCAGCATCGGGTGCCAGGCGCAGCGCAGTCCGCGTCACTGGCGCAGTCCTGCTGTATCGGCCCCGCCTTACAGAATCTGCTGTTAAAGGGACACTGGCCGGGCTTGGAGTCCGGAACCACCGTAATAACAGGTACCTGGCCCCGGGACTGGCAGGAGCAGATGTCTCGGCACGGGTCCGACTCGGGCGACGCGCAACATTTTTGGCAGATGTCTCTGAGCTCACCGGCTGGAACAAAAAGTCAGCGTCTGGTGAGTGTCGGAGGGTTTTCTGGGTGAGGGAAGGATACGACACACCTCATTCTGCCCATAGATCATATGAATGTGCTGGCTGTCTTGCGACACAAAGATTCAATTTCGAGGTCTCGAATCAGCCGGGGATACCACCCAAAAGGTCGGGGCTACGTTTTTTTTTTTGGCAAACGCTTTTGGAATATGTTGATAAAGCGGTTTCATTTACACAGATCGCGTTAGTCCTGTCCAGTGGCGTCGAGTGATGCATCTACTTTTTACTCAAAAATAGATTGAAAACAATATGATTTTGACATAATTGTGACAATCCAAACCTACTCGATGTTTATCACCATAATGTCATTTATCCTTGAACACTCTTAAACTCGAAAAAGTAGCCAGAGGCCACTGAAGGTCAATGAACTTAGCCTGACCTTCAAGTGACCTTGACATCCACCAAAATGCATGGTTTCAACACCATTTTACATATTGGCACATTTTAATCACACAAAGTCTCGAAACACATGGATAATGTGCGCCGATATACGCCGAAGCGCAATTCTAGGCTGAAATGGTCTTGAGACACAGGCCACCATGGTCAGGATCATGAAAAATTCAGTGAATGTGTAAAATGGATTAACACACGCGGGGCTGGGGGAGGGTCAATTTTACCCCCTCGCTAATTTTTGCAATATCTCAAAAACGGCGGCGCGCAGCGCGACCAAACTTTCAGTACCTTTTCTTACATTAATTTGACACGTTCCCTGAGAATTTGAGCGAAATCCTTCGGATTTTTTTTGAGTAAATGACGTTTTAGTGACGTCATGTTCGCCATTTTCGCCTAAAAAAACGGTAAAATTTCAAATGCCGCTAACATCTTCATTTTTAAGGGAATCGAGACGTAACAAAAAGGTTATACGTGATTCTACTTTGTCTATCAAATGGCTATCTCGGTTTTTTATTTTTTTATTTTGGCCCATTTTTTTCTTCAAAAAAACTGACTTGGGAAAATAATTATAAAATTTAAAATCCAAAATTTTGCGTGTATAAAAAACCGGATATATGTCAGAGAAGTGGTCCATGTACACCTACATACCAATTTTTAGAAGAATCGGTTCAAAAATGTGGGAGTTATTCAAAATTTTATGACGTCACGACAAACAAATTTTTTGAAAAATGATTTTTTGGAAGTTCTAGACCTCGTACGGAAACAAAAATAGCACCATTCGATTTGCTGTGAAAAACTGCATCAGATAGACACCTTTTTAGGCATTAACAACCAACTTCAAAATTTGACCTCACTACTTGACCTGACATTGACCTGACCTCGGCCTGAAATTCATCCAGATGTGGTCCATATCACCTATTGAGTGTGCCTATTGAATTATATGAATAAAATGACCCATAAAACATGTGTCGCACATGCCCTTTTCTATATTTTGTTTTTGGTGACCTGATCTGGGGGGCTCAGGCCCGGGTGACCTACGCCCGGGTGGCCTACGCCCGGCTGACCTACGCCCGAATTGCCTACTCCATCGAATGTCTACGCCCGGGTGACCTACGCCCGGCTGACCTACGCCCGAATCGCCTACTTCATCGAATGTCTACGCCCGGGTGACCTACGCCCGGCTGACCTACGCCCGAATCGCCTACTCCATCGAATGTCTACGCCCGGGTGACCTACGCCCGGCTAACCTACGCCCGAATCGCCTACTCCATCGAATGTCTACGCCCGGCTGACCTACGCCCGGCTGACCTACGCCCGAATCGCCTACTCCATCGAATGTCTACGCCCGGCTGACCTACGCCCGGCTGACCTACGCCCGAATAGCCTACTCCATCGAATGTCTACGCCCGGCTGACCTACGCCCGGCTAACCTACGCCCGAATCGCCTACTCCATCGAATGTCTACGCCCGGCTGACCTACGCCCGGCTGACCTACTCCATCGAATGTCTACTGCTCCCCTCCTGTCCGATTAAAGAGTGAAGATTTCGCATACCAAAGTGACCCTTCCGGGGGAACCGGCACCCGCAAGTCAGGTAACAATGGGAAGGGTCGGAGGGACCGACCGCCGCGCCGCATGGTGACAGGTGATTCCCGGGACGTCCGAGCGTCGCCTTTCAGACGCATCGCCGCCTCCCCCCGCCGCGCCGTGCCGCGCCGCACAAAGCAGACGGACCCTGTCGCGGAGCGAACTACCCGACCAGGCTGTCATCATCGGCGGAGAGCCTGAACTGCTTTTTTTTTAATCGTTGAGCTGATCAAGCTTGAGTAGCCATGCTTGCGTATTTCACGCTTCAGCCCTGCTGTGAGCCATGTTTTATGATTTCTCATTTCAGATCTTAACAATGATCTTAGGTAGGAAGAACCGTGAGAAACGCCCCTCCCCTTTAGCCCTCGCCGGTATAAGGGGGGGGGTCGAACAGCCCCCTCTCGGTTTTCGATAATAACTCGTGTAAAAACTCCCTGATCGCGACGGAACCTTCATTACCATCGCGTTCATCAATTTTACACCTACCCTAACAATTTCATGACCCTGACGCAAATGACCTTTGACCTGTGACCTACTTTTCGAGACCATGTTTGGCCGGAATCGCGATTCGGCGTATATGTCGTCTCCTCTTAGCCGCGCGTTTGCACTCTTTTCGTGGTTTCAAGCGTTCAAACATGTGATATGATATTGCTCCTATGCGTTAGGGTGGGTGTCAAGTTCACTTGAAGCTCAGGACAGGTCACTGACCTTAAATAAGCTCGGTTAACTTTTACATGTTTCTAGGCTAGTTTTTTTTTTAGCTTAATTCGAATTTAGCAACCATATGAGCATTTACGAAGTAGTTTTGGTGCCATCGTAACATGTTACGAAGCTGTCAGAGGCGGTTGACACCTACTACGAATACCCGGCAAAACCACTACTGGTTGACCTGAACTGACCTGACCCGACCTGGCCTAAAAGCATGAAGACATCATCTGTGATAAAAACTAACATGATATTCGTGATCAGAACCCCGAATAACCTCGTAGCAGCCACACTTTACGACCCAACTGGTCTCGATTTTCCCGACTTTTGGGCCAATGACCTGGCTTGAAAGGTCAACCAATGACCTAGGACCTTAAAATTGGGTATCATCGGCTTCCTCTTGTCACGGGAAACACGCTCGTTTTTTCGCGAAGCTCTAGCTCGATCAGGGGTGAGACGGCAAGGGGGGTCCAACGGACTTCCCCCGCCCTTATACGTTTGCGGCTGTCAAAACACCAATACTGGCGAGGGGAAGTGTGTCACCGCTAGACTAGTTATTTGACCATATACTATTAGGTATTTATCTATATTTATTTATTTACGATCTCAAGCCTCCACGTGGTAGGTTTTAAAGCTTACGTCATTGCACAGTATGTCTTAAAAGTACCGCGCAAAGTAACAGTGGATCCATCAAGCCTGACCGAGGAAGGACTGCTAGTCACCGAAACAATGGATATCCTCGTCCATTCCCCAATCCCCAGGTCAATTGGTTCGGTGACTTTCAAATTATATAGCAGGCCCTTCCTCGGTCAGGGTTGATGGATCCACCGTCACTTTGCGCGGTACTTTTAACCCTCGCCCTGGCAGGGCATTTTTCATAACACGGCCTGGCAGGGCGGGGGGGGGGGGGGTCGATGCGACCCCCCTCGCGATTGGCTCCTATGGCACCTAGAAACACCAAATTTGGTAGGTAGGTGGGCCCCCTGGATTTCTCACCCCTGTGCAAATTTGGCTGCTCTAGGTCAATATTTAGAGAGTTTTTGGGGGATATAAATGTAAAAATTTCGCTAAAATAGGTCTAATGTTTTTCGCTTATAACTTTTGATCAAAGATAGAGCAAAAAGAAAAGCAGACTGTACATACATTGGAGTGTTATGCATACATACATAGGTACAAACCATGGTCACAAGTTCATCGGTGCAAAACTCACAGCGGCCTATATAACGCACTATGCCATATACTATTTTAAAGACCTTATCTTTCAACCATTCAACAAAATAATGCATAAAGCACTGGTATGCTGCATTCCAGCGTGATTGAGCTTTTCCAAGGCATTTCAAAACGGGGTGTTTTATCCAGAATTGGAGGATCAAAAGCATGCGATAGCATGTAGTATTACGGGTATGGTAAGACGCTATACTTTGGTTGTCACCTGATTATGAGTTTCGTTTGCATAGAAAATGCATTTAACGTTCCGTTTTCGTATGAGTGTCAGTAACGTGGCCTTCGGATAATAGATTTAGACGAAGAACCGTTTCAAAAACAAACAATACTTAACCCTATTCCTGGCGGGGGGGGGGGCTTCAGGAGCCCCCCCCTGAGGTTTTTTGGTTATTTCTCCCAAACGCGTTGAGCTAGGAAGCTCAAATTTTCTGACTTTTCCTAAAAGGCTTCTACGCAACATGTCTGAAAATTTTGAGTTGATCTGACCTCAGGTCAGGTCACCAGAGGCGGTTTGGTGACCCTACCTCAAAAAAGTTTGCAATCACGCCAGAGCTAGAGTTTTTGACCGATCAATTTCTTCTCTTCAGGCTTTAGTTAGGGTACCAGTATGTGCAATTTGTATATCTCGGAATTTTGATATCGGTGACCTAAGGTCAGGTCAGTTTCGCGACCTCCCCATTATAAGTCAATGGGGGAAAAATCAACTCCCTGTTTTTACCACTAAAACGGGTCGGAATGGCCCCATATACCATACATGACTTCATATACGATCAACCTTCACTACCTTGAGGTCTGTTTTGCTGTTGGGCAGCTGTGAGGTCATGTGACGTCATCAAAGGTCACCAAAGGTTTTTGGCCAATAACTCCGTACAGGAACAAGATACAGACGCGTGGATGGTCTCATTGTGTTCAGCTCGTCAAGACGCATCGAATGATATACATGATGACCTCGAGGTCACGTGACCTGAGGTCAACCTTTGACCTTGACCTTGCGAGGTCAACATATATATCATTCGATGCGGATTGACGAGAGGA